ATATATTCACATTATTCCCTTTTGACAGATAATGTAATTAAATATTGTGAATCAATATAAGGAACTGAAATATAAATGCATTTTTCTAGCTATTTTGCTTCTTTAATACATTTCATATCAGTGGCGTCGATAGGCGTCAGCGATGTCGGCGACCAGATTCATGTTCACAGCTCCAGTCAGTATAGCTTCGACAGAAAGAGGCTTCTCAAAGTTAAAATTGATTAAGACGTACTAGAAAAGTATTATGATCCAAGAGAGACTATCTCCATTGGAAATTCTATAAACTGAAGCAAAAATAGCAGCTGGCGCAAATTATGATATAATTTAAAAAAAAATTGAGTGAGGCTAAAAGTAGGAAAATTCATTTATTTTAATTTGTGTTTATTTTAATTTGATTAACAATAAAACTGGGTTATAAAGGGAGCCTCGCAATTCTGATGTGGCCGTCGTGCAGAGTTGGTCTAGCTCCGCCACTGTCTCATATATTCAAGAAATACTATCAAACAAATAAAAGAAAGGCCTTCCTGAAGCGTTTCAGCAAAATACTTGCCTACTATTGAATATTTCCTTTTATACAAAGCGACTTAATATGGTGCATCTATATAACTCAACAGTTATAATGTTAAAAAAATTGAAACGTATCAAAAACTTGATGATCCCAACAAACATTGGATCTCTAAACGGTAACGTTAGACTCTCCAAACATAAAAGAAAACAAGTCGTCCTTCGAGAATACAACGTGTCATACTAACTTAGTTAATTATTTATGTTTATGAATAAAGTCGTGAAGAACTCTTTTGCCTTTAGACCAAAATTTATGCGAGTTTGAATTCTAAATGAATGAAGAATGACCAGCTGGTTGGTCAACTGCTGAACGTTTCAGCTATTTATAATCACAGAATAAATAGGGTCCATTGTTATTCAAAGCAGTCATGGTCACGTCATATTGAAATTGTTGCTGGTCTTAATATAAATTTAAAATTCGAAATGTGGTCACAAGAGTAATTTCGGTTAAAGTTTGTTTACTGTAACGACGCTTTTTGTGGTTCGTCAAAACCGTGTTGTTAAATGATTAGTATCAGGATTTTTGTCTTTTAATATGTATATTTTCACGTAAATATGTTTACATATCTTTACAAAATACATTACTTTTTAAATTTAGCCACAACTAAAAATAATCAAAACAGTTCAAAGGATACAAAATTGATATTATTGATTTGACTCATGATATACCTTCATGGTCATGATCAAAAAAAGCACAAAACTATCGTTATCTTTCATTATACGATTGTAAAAGATAGTTTTAAAAATTATATCAACAAATTTAACTGAATATAGTATTAACATATATTTAATAACATTCTTCCTATTGCCAGTTTGGACTCAGAAACCAAACGTCTATAGTGCATAGTCGGCATCATCTCCAAAATGAGATATGTGTTGGCAGCTCTCCGTAGCAATAAGTCTTGACATTGAAAATCCCTTTGATACCATCTAGTTTGAAGGTCTAATCCACAAGCTTTGCCAGTTCGACTTCTCCCCAACACTCTGCAGTGTTATCCTGAAGTTCGTCTCCAATAGGTTTTTTCGAGATCAAGTCGATTTCAATCTGTCCCGCTACTTTCCCAATGTCACCGGCGTCCTCCAGGTCTTAATATTAGGCCCATCATTCTTCCCCAGGCTCCCACCAAGCAAATATGCTTCGCTGACAACCGTTTCCTCTTCATGCGGTCGTCAAACCCCTGCCGCATCTCTAATGAGCTAAATACCCACTTTACTTCCATAAAGTAATGCTCTTTAGCTGATTCAAAAGTTGTTAAATAGGTCCTGTTTATTAAATTAAATACTAAATTGATTGGTTAGGACTTTGAAAAAAATCGCAATATAAAATATGTTATATCTTATAAATGCAGTGTATTATAACCCATTTTAATTTTTATATTAATCATTATTTATAAGAACTTAAACAATAAATACTTGCTTGTCTTGCTATGCTAATCGAGATAAACCCGAAAATGGGATAATTAGTCGTCTAAACTTACTATTAAATGATAATACAAAAAAAATTGTATGAATTTCTTTAGCATTAATTATCGTGCGTAATTATTTTTCAAAAAAGTTGCAAATTATGATTAACTTTTTCGTATAAACACAGTAACAGCTGTGATATACCATATACGTATAAAATAGTTCTTTTAGATATATAGTACTGAACTTTTCTAGAATCTTCGTTATTTTCTTACCATTCTTACACAATCTTTTATAAGTTTATTAATGCTTTAATAATGAAATGTCGGTCTCATAAATTTTCGAATTCGTTGCATATATACATATATTAAAACGTAAATGAATAAAAGTACAACTATAAAGCACTAAACTACAATATATTCTATTTTTTTATCTTTTATTATGATGCCTATTAAGTAATATTTATCAAAAATTGTTTGGTTTATAATGTCTTCAAGCAGACACCCGATGTTTTAAGTTAAAATTCTTCACCAACACTACTCATTTTCTTACTTACCAGGTTAAATATATAAATTAACCTAGCCATTTCTACAAGTTTATCTGTGTATGACCATTTAGTTCTGTCGCTTATTGAAAGAGCCAAATCAGTGAAATAGACGTCGAAGTTCCAGAAAAGTTTTTATACCTACTCTTTACTATTTTAAACAAATGGATTAATCAAGCCATATCTACATGTTTATCTCTTTTTTTGGCCATTTAGTTCTGTCGTTTATTAACAGACCTAATAAAAGTAAAGACAGAGATTTGCTATCAATTCACGCAAATCAAGTTTACAAAAAGGAGTAAAACTTGATAGAAAATTTAATGCCCTAGATTTTTTAATACATATTAGAATTTAGTTTTACTTAAAAAGTTAAAAAAAATGTAACACCAAAAACATTAATCAATATTTTAGCCATTAATATTATATTTAAACCAAAATTAATCAGTTCCAAAAAGTATTGTATCAAATTGAGACTCAACAAGAATTTAGTTTTATTGTGGAATAGATTAAATTAAATTGTAAAAAAAAAAATACTTCAGTGAAGAAATTTCCATATACAAGAAAGTTTTTCTCACCCATCATGAAACCAATTAAACGCTTCGATAAACTTAAGTTCTCACTTAATACTTAAAATAAGTAAAAGTCATTTAAACAGATGGTAATTATTAAAGGTAACTGAAAAGTGGTGTTATACTGTCCAAAATTAAAGCTTATTTAAACTATTTATGCTAACTTAAGTTGAAAATCCGAAGAGTATGATCATTATCATACAAACAGTTATCAGTTCATATTAAGTGCGGGTCAGTAGTATAACAAGCAATTAGATGTCAATAAAACCTCTACGTCTTCCTGGCAATTTTTGTGAACACCTGTATTTTGTCTGCATAAACGTACCAAGAAGACAAAGCATACATATATCTATATATTTTAATAAAAAAAATAATAAAGTACGTTAAATTATTTACAATTTCAGATGTAACTCTACCTTTAGTACGTAATAAACTATTCAACCAGTCTCATTTTAATAATAATTGCATGCAGATGCAACTTGTTTCAAAATTCGATTTAACATGTTAGAAGTTATTTAACGTATTAAATCACATTTAATAAATTAAACACGTCAATAAAAATAGGACATAGGAATAAGTTAATAGCAGAGTCCTAACGAAAATATTAAAATTGACGTAAGTTGGAACTACGCAAGCAAAGTGATTGACTTAAACATGACTTAAATCTATTTTAAGAGTAACGGTGTGACTGTTAAATCGGCCCTAAGAACTTCTTCTTTATTTGCGATTTAGAATATTGGTGATCATATAATATAAAACTACATCGCTTAAATAACTTTGAATAAACTTAATTCAAATTTTTTACAATTTCTGCATATTGTTTTCTACATCTAACTCTATTTATAAGCTAGTCGACCTGTCGTATACCCGTCCATTGGTAGGTATTTCGCAGCCATGAAAATTGTCTCTTCCCAATACCACGTTTCACTTGGATTTTTGCTTGAATAATCATATGGAGTAATTCATATTTCAGATTTCTCATAAGCCTAGGTAATCCCTAGGTAGACTGTTTTTCTTCTCTTTATAGTTGCTTCGTTAAACTTCTTTGTTTATAACATGGTCCGTTAATGAAAATTTGGAAATACTTCGGAAAATCCATAACTCAAAAACTTCGAATTTGTAAATATTACTTTCCATGACTTATAGCAGTATAGACCAGACATAGGCTTTTACAAAATGGATTTAATTTTT